GTGATAATATCGTATCGTGGGATTTATGGTGATTCCCACCTCTAGAATATAACCAGAATACAACCAACTGGCAACCAGATGAGATAAAGATAAGATAACCTTTATTAGTCCCACACGTGGGAAATTAGTTTTGTCACAGCAGGAAGTGGACAGTGCAAAAGTTATATAGGAAAAATTAGAATACAATACGAATAATATACTGTACACAACAGAATAGAATAGAATAAAATAAAATACTATATACAGTAGAATAAAATAGAATAAAATATACAATAAGATAAAAATAGGATACAAATTCAATATAATTCGAGTAAAAATACAACTTTGTATTGAGAGTGGACATTCAGAGGTTGAGGGCGTTGCACATTAAACTTCTGGGTGAACATTTGGTCACCACAACTATTGTATGAAACAGTTCAGTGGTTCCTGTTTTTACCCTCCTGTGACTGAGCCGTTACACAACAGCAGAGCTCTGAGACTGTACTGTATTCCCTCCACACCCTGTATAAATGAAATCCTTGGAAACCCAGCAGGTATTTTGATCAGGTTTGTTTTCTTTTTCCTAATTTTACTTACTTCAGTGCAAAGTAATGCATATTTGTGAACATGTAACCAGTTTTTCTTGTCTATGGTTAAACAGTTACCAGATCCAGAGTTGGATCCACTCCAAAAATTAACCACTTCTGAGTTGTAGCAGTCGCCACCTTTCAAGAGATTTTGTGGCAAATCCTCCATAATCCTGCTAATAATGAGATAAACAAACAAACAAACAAACAAACAGATAAGTCGTAATTAAGGATTCACACCCCTCTCCACAACCTTAAGCCTAGAAGAGCTGTGCGTTATTATTACAAATATAGCTCAGTCGCAGCCGCCTCCGTACAGCTGTGATGCACTCAAACATATATCGTTACACCTTTTTGAGCTTTAGAAACAAACACGGTGTTTGTAGGCGTGACAGACTGTGAGGAGGGGGATTGTTTCTTTTTCAGGGGCTCGTAACCAGCCGCTGGTGCAGCTCCAGAGGAAGTCCATTCAGCTGCCGTCCAGCTCCAACTACACAGCACTCACTGCTGTGCTGACCACAGCCAGGAGCCAGTATGAAATCGGGGGATTCCCCTTCCTGCTGGGCCAAGAGACCAACAGCTCAGGTCAGTGTCAGTCTGTCAAACTGATGTTACAGTGTGGTCAAAGTTTCTGTGCCTTTCTGGATCATCTGAGGTTTCATTTCTAGGTCTTTCCAATAAAATCTTAACACCGCAGTTTGCATGGATATTTTAGTTGTCCCAGATCTGACTATAAGCTTGCTGTAAATAAATTGCTGCTACTTTGCTAATTTATTGTCATTTATAGCCACTCGTATACCAAAAATGTGATGGTTCCAACTTGTCTGGTAGCAAAATGAAGATCAGAGTTATTATTCTGTTCATTTTTAGCTGTTTGCATTTGTGCCTCACCACCAATACAGGTGCAGAAACTGGGTGGATGGACTTGACGGCGCTGGCAGTGGTCAGCATTCAGCTTTTTGATAAAGATGGCGGCGTGATCCGCGTTTCAGATCCGATCCACATCTCTGTGCCGCTGCCATCAGACACCCGAAACAGGATGGCCACGAGTGTGCCCGCTTGGCTGTATCAGCCAAAGACGGGTAAGCTGTGCGCTAAAACTTACAAATAGTCTTTTATTAATGTAAACTATGTATGCATGACTGTACTCAGAGGCTGCTGATCATTTTCTTTCCTCCAGGGCTGTGGGTTCGGAACGGGACGGGCTACATCAAAAAGGACGGGACGCAGTTTGTCTGGAACGTCGTGGTTCCTCAGATGGGATACTGGTTGGCTGCCTTTCCGACGTCTTCAGGTATTGAAAATGAAATGGCTGTTATTGGTAAAATGTTAACTGGTGACGCTTCACGTGCCTTTATACTGCTGTGGAAACACAGATAACAAGAAGCCTTTACTATAAGATTCACTTTATCGTCCCTGAGGAACTCAATAATAAATCAATAAACAAGGTGATTTTGTAGGACAAGGTTAAATAGCCTTGAGTTTGAAGCATTGATCGTATGAAAAAGGATAGCTTCCTTAAACTTGCATCCGTTTTTAATGGCCACCAGGGGGTGACTCCTCTGGCTGAAACAGACACCAAGATGGTGACAGCAAAACCAATGTGTGGCGCCATGTAGCTATTATCAGCTGAACCAAGTTCCTGATTATTTCATGATTGATGTAAATCAAATTCTTTCCTCCTCCCTCACTTTACAGACAAACTAGCAGTTGTTTGGGCAGTATAATAGGGAGCTGACATGCTACGAATGAATCTGAGTTAACTTTTGCAATGATGTCTTGCAGGTTTAGGTTTGTCTCATCCAGGCTTGAGGGATATCACCACCTACCACACTCTGTTCCTGCTCTCCATCCTGGGATCGTTGGCCCTGCTGGTGCTCATCCTGCTCTGTGTGCTGCTCTACTACTGCAGGTGTGGGGAGCATAGGTCCAGGTCTCACTTTTAGGTTTCTATTTGTAGCAAAACGTGGGTTTATTTTAGTCCTACTATCAATAAATTAGGACCACACCCACCTGCTGTTTATGAGGGGCGACCAATTTTAAGGAAAATAGCTTACCAGAGGACGGGCTTGTTCTACACATCTAAAACAGCTTATTTTAAATGTGGGCTTAATTAAGGTCCGAAGAAAGCTTATTTTGAGCAAAGATACTCCAGTAGACATGTTTCCTTTTTTTTACTATAAAATAACATATGAAAAATTAATTAATTAAAAGTTTCTTGTGTACAATAAGCATTCATATTTTATTTGAAATGGAACTTTAACAAATTAAGGGAGCTATTGAGTACTGCAGTACACAAATAGTCCACCAGAGGGCAAAAAACATGCGTCAGATAGTGTACCTGTTTTTCCCAGTGATGTACTGATCTTGCCTATGATAAAGGTCTTAAAAACTGGCTCTATGGGGTTAAGTTCCTGCTTCATTAGACAGTTTTTAAAATCCCTCCCCTTTTTTGGAGCTGTTTTGCTTCCTTCTGACTTTCAGTTTCTGTTTATCTTTCAGACGGAAGTGTCTGAAACCACGTCGACAGCAAGGCAAACCTCACACGTCCAATCTAAACGGTGCTAAGAGAGACCAGGGCACATCCACGTCACGGCTAAATCTGATCTGTGGAGGCCATGTCGAATCAGGCCCCTCCAATGACAAATCTGACTTGTCGCCATCGCGAGACTACCAGAGTTCAAGGGAAGATTTAACTAAGCATGTTCCAGCCCACATGCTGCGACACGCAAAGGGTAAAAATGCGTCAGGTTCCCAACGGGGTGAAAGCTTCCCCATGAAGGTTACACGTGCCACAGAGACCAACAACTTGGACAGCCCTTTGCTGCATGACGACTACAACCGGAACTACAGCCCAAAAGACAACAAGGAGTCCGACTATCACAGACACCACAACGCCAACGACAATCGAGGGTACTCCTCCGATCCCCCGTCCCCACCTCGCTTCCAAGGCTACGTCCCAAGCCAGTCCGACAAGCCTCCGGATTATTCCGCAGCAGCAGCAGACAGCCTTGCCCGACCTACTTCCCTCAACACCCAACCAGGTCAGATCATCTTTTGCAGCTCCATTGACCAGATGAAGGAGAACATGTACCGCAGCATGGTGCCAACCCTGGTTATCCCCGCCCACTACATGCGCCTGCCATCTGAGTTTTCTGGCAAAGATGGCAAGGACCAGAAGGATCAAGACAAAGATGGCACACAGATGGGAGGAGGCCAGCAGCACCATCACCACCACTCCCAGAAACAAGGCCAGCAGCAGCAACAGCAAGGAGGATCTCAAGGCGACGACTCTGAGGAACCGAGCTGGGCATCTGACTCGTCCGGGGGACCTGTGACCATCCCAGTGCTATTCAACGATTCCACCATGGCTCAAATGAACGGGGAACTGCAAGCTCTGACAGAGAAGAAGCTCCTGGAACTTGGAGTTAAACAACACCCGAGGGCGTGGTTCATCTCTCTTGATGGTCGAGCTAACGCTCACGTGCGCCACTCCTACATAGATGTTGGGAATGACCTCAGTGGCGGTGGTGGATTCGGAGGTGGCTCCAGCAGCACTCCCCGGGATGTCAACCTGGAACCGCCTCTTGAGGCCCAAGAGCGAAAATCAGCTGGAATTAGAAAGGGAAAAGATGAGCGCTGGGGAACGGGAGGACGGAAAGGCCACGGTGTTAGCAGCAGCGGCGGGAAGAGTTACTCCAAGCTGGCCTACCCGGACCACAGCGAGCCCAGCAGCAGTGAGGGACGTCCCGTCTCTCCCGAGGAGAACTCCCTAACCCCTCTTCTGGACGAAGGCCCATCCTCCCGAGGATCCACCATCCCTAGAAGAGGACGCAGCCGCGTGAACAGCAGCCGCAGCAGCAACAGCGAGAACCGCCGCGACTCCATGACCAGCCCAGAGGATGATTCCGAGGACAAAGATGAGAACAAGAAGAGCCCCTGGCAGAAGATCGAAGACAGGCCTCTGATGGTCTTCCACCCCAGGAAGTGAGCTTTTTGAATGAACACTGGAACTATAACAGCCTTGTGAAAGAGGAGTCTTTCACATCACCGAGAGGGAGGTCACAATAAGCACAGCCACTGCTTCACCAATCCATATCCAGGTTGTTGTTTGACCTTTGTGTTTGCCAGTTACTCTCGTAGCCTCACTGTCAGTTAATCCCTCTGGTTTCCACTGAGTCGTAGATTGAAATCTGTCCAGTTTATTGTGAACCCCGTCTTCAATCACCTGTCACTGAACCATGGTCTGAGCCATTGCACATACTGACTGTGGAAATAGCCATTTTATAGAGCAAAATATAAGAATAGAGCACTTGCTAATAATTTGATAACTTATTGATTGATACTTACAGAATATTTGGAAGTGGGTGGCATTTTTTTATGGGACTGATGGGAATTTTTGGCAAATTAGGCTTTTTTCCCTGGACTAATTCTACCCAAATGCTCACAATGACTGTAGGAGATGTGAGCTTCTTTTTTCTTCTCTACCCCGAAACAGCTTCCCTGTCTGAAGAAGTTGTGAAAGTTTGTCCTTGAGCTCTTGTGAACAGATTACAGAAATATTATAAAGTCCAACGTGCAACTTGCATTTTGCTCCTTCAGGGATGTTCTTGATTTCCTCTTCCTCCTGTACTGTGTTCATGTGTTGTAATTACCTACTCAAATAGTAATGATTTGAACTGTTCAGCATCATCTCCATCTTCTCTGTAATATCACAGTGATCTACTGTACAATTTTGCCAAAAGTACGCATTTCTGCCTTTCTTCTCTTGGTGAGAGTTTTGGCCAGCAGAGACTTTGTTGCATTTGGGTCATTCCAGTAAAAATCAATCAGTGCCTCCCACCTGACCCTGTTTGAATCAGCAGATTTTTTTTATACAACAACTTTAGCATCTGTAATAAAGGAATGTAACGTTTCACCTTAATACTGTGGATATTTTCACAGTTATAAGCCCTCAAATTACCTAAGAGTGGTTTAAAATTCAGCTCTTTTTAATTCACATTAAAGCTCTGTTAAAAACGTCAATTTCACACCCACTCTGTCACAACCCAAAGGGTCTCAGGACGAGTGGATGCTCTGAGTATAGGTCAACATATGAGAACACTTGCGCTGAACAAAAGTAATGGCCAAAGAAAATCTGGAGACCCTCAAGGAATTTGAAAAACTTTTTTAGAACCTAAAATTGTTGGATAAATGTGATTTATCCAAATGATTAAACACAGTATGTGAGCACCAATGTCATTTCTTGATTCCACAACTGTGCGCTACATTCAGGTGTGTTGAAAGATCACTGTGTAGGAATCACAGTTGGAAGATGAGCCTGATATAGAGACGTAAATGGTAAATGGCCTGTATTTATATAGCGCTTTACTAGTCCCTAAGGACCCCAAAGCGCTTTATATATCCAGTCATCCACCCATTCACACACAGGTGATGGCAAGCTACATTGTAGCCGCACTGACAGAGGTGAGGCTGCCGGACACTGGCGCCACCGGGCCCTCTGACCAACACCAGTAGGCAACCGGTGAAGTATCTTGCCCAAGGACACAACGATCCGAGACTGTCCAAGCCGGGGCTCAAACCGGCAACCTTCCGATTACAAGGCGAACTCCCAACTCTTGAGCCACGATCGCCCACGTAGATCAAAACGGGAACCATTCATATGCTATACCTTACTATCCCACCCACTGGGTGATACGATCCTTGAAAGTTTACTCAAAATGCACATTTTTTGAGTTTTCTCTGGTGAAATATTAGAGTTGTTTATGTAAAATCTGTCTTCATCAAAAGCAACATTATAACTTTTAGATTGTGACACTTGGAGATGGTGTAACATTGATTTGCTCACAGTTTCTAACATTTATGGTGTTAAAAACTCAAGTAAAACCCTGTGTACTTTGAGGGCCTTTAACTTGGACAGTATTTATAGAATGAAGGTAAAGATTTGCATGGCCTCATTAAATTTGAGGGGGTGGGGGAAGCCGTGGAAGCTTCTGAGGGGGTCAGGTGGGATTTTCTTTTTCAGATTTGGCTGATTTTATATGGAATGACCCATTTATCTTGTGTAAATACATGCCCAGATATTCGAAAGACCATTTGGTATAGAAAGGTTGCATGCATATGAATGTATGAAATAAACAGAAGGCACCAAAAGCCCTCCCCTACAAATTCCTGCTAGACAACCCCTAAACGCCAAGAAACAAGCGTAGTTCCAAACCGCTTTTACTTGAAGACTTACTATTTCTGAAATATCCTACTGAGATCAGCGGGGGTTGCCTGTAGACAGAGCCTGAACCACTTCTCTCCTGTAAGTGCCTTCTTTCACATAGGATCGAGTGATAGGCATGCCGGTCCCTTTTTAAAATGCAGTCAGCGGTCACCTAAACTCACTGTCGAGATCGGCAGGCACTGATAAGCACACTGCATTGCGGTAACAACAACAGCAACACGCGTCACTCTGGGGAGCATGCCTGCCAAAACAGACAACTTTTCTTGCGGCTATTCCGTCCTTGGATATCTTAATTTCTTGTATCTATCCTCTTTTTTCACTGAACCTGTAAATGGTATGATCTATATGAGATTTTATGTGTATACAATGTGCATGTTAAATGTAGAATAGGGTGTTTTTAATGATTTTTTTTAACTATCATTATTGATAACAAGGATGTTTGGCACAAAATGATGCATTGGACTGTGTTGCCAAATGAACTTCACGAAGATACACTGACTTTTCCCTTAATCCAGTTCTAACGAAATTCACTTCCGGTCGTAAATGTTTACAACGATAACATACTGACCAACACGCTCCTGCTGTTACTAGCATCACCACTGCCTATTCAACAACTGTGAACTTAGCGAGGCTGGCGGCTGTTTTGTTGGTGGTTTTTGCAGAGTAATGGGATGCCTATGAAGGGAAAACGGTTGTATAAAAGTCATGCTGACATGTTGGTCCTTTGTACCATTCGCTTGCTGTTCATAAGCCTGTGTCAGTAGCCTACGGAACAAGCTGAAAATGTGATGTAACTCAAAGTCTGAAGAATAGCACAACCATGAATCGAATCCTGCTAAAATGTTGCGCCCACTGCTGTAAGTGTACTTTTATTTTTTTGAGCCAGATATGGAAAGTATTGAGTTGTGCAATCGTGGCTTTTCTTGCTTGTCTATGTTTTGCTAATGAAGTGTTTTCTCAGATTCGGTGAACGATTTGACACCGAATCCCTGAGAGGAAACTTCAAATCTGGCAACCTACCGTGCTGGATGTTTTTGATAGTTAAGAGCATCAAGAGGACTGAGCTGTAGGCTTTCATCCTGTGCAGTAAATCATCGGCTTCATTCACCTGGTCAGTTGTTTGTAAACTGTAAATTGATTCAACTTTCTGTACATGAGACAAAATAGAAATAAATTTGTTCCCACGGTCTGTCTGTGTTTGGGATTTTATTTTGAAAACCACATCAAAACTAGCCTCTAATTAGGTCAAAAGTCCATGAAGAAAAATAGCAAACTCAAGCTGTTGGAAAAGTGAATGTAGGAGAGCAAACAGATGGCAAATAGATGTTCTACCAAAGAATACTGAGGGCAATCAAGGGGAGAGGAAACAGCTGGAGGAAAACAAACAGCTGAAATTAATCAAGATCAAAGATACAATTAAAGTAAATCTAAATACAAGAGACAAAACACAACTCACTGCCAAACTAAATCAGGAAGCAGGCAAAAAACCTGACAAGAAGATAAAAGAATAAAGTAAACCTGAGGTATCAAATATTTAGAAAACTAAGTGTTTTCAAATAAATAAAATAAAATCTATTAATTCACTTTGATTTAAAAAAAAAAAACCCATACCAAAATAAAGCAAAATACACAACAATAATGTTTTAAATATTCTAATCATCTAGGAGTGGGAAGTATGCACATATAATTAATCCCACCCCTTCTTCATCAATGCTGAAGTATTGTTTCAGCTTCCTTGTTGATAGGAACTTCAGGAACATCAACATACATATTTGCACATAATTTATGCACTGTTTGAAATGCAAAAAAATGTTCATATATAGTTTTTATAATTCCGCAATTTTATTTCCGCACGTCAAAGGCAAATACCTCCAATTTTGGAATGTTGACTGCAAAATCTGAGTAGAAAAGGAATATAAAAACTAAATAAACAGAGATATTCTTTGAAATTCAACCATCATTATCTTCTTATTATACCTAATAAGGACCATATGTTTTAAGCAACTTTTGCCATGGTTTTTCTCCACACACACAAACACGAAAACCGTAGGTTTGAGGTTGCCCACCGCTTTAAGTTATAACGTCCTTCTCTTACAGAAAACATGCTTTCAATTATTGTGATGTTTGAATTCTTACCACATCTGTGCCAGTGTCGTAAGTTTTTGTAAATTCAAATAATGCAATAGATAAAAAGTTAATTTAATATTCTATTTTTATTATATTTTGTTGTTGTTGTTTTATTTTCCTAACCCTGGACCGCTGCAGTGTACTGGCCCTTTAAGACGCTAGCCTGTTGAGTCACGTGTCAGGCGTCATGTGATATAAGTATTATCAGAGACTGTTTGCTTTGTGCGTTCTGGGTGTTGCAGGCTGTCACTACCACATCAAACGCTACATGTATGTGACCCTTCAGACGAGGTAAGAGGATGATTTCCGTTTCGTACGTTAATTTAAAACAAACAAAAAGAGAACATCCGCTTAACTTCATTTAAACCAGCTAGCTTTGTTTTTAGCTACATAGCCTGCTACGCTAACTTGTATTTTTATTACAAAAGCTAGCGTTAGAAAGCTCTCTCCTTTCAGCTGGTAATTTTTACAAGTTGCAGGTTATTTTTCTTAAACGTTGTCACTACTTTCCCCCCCTGTAGTATAATGCAGTATTTCCTAAAAGCATAACATCGACTGACAGTGTACTGTTGTTTTTCAGGAGTATGCAGAAAAGTGCCCTGTGCTGATAACGATTAAACTCCTTCTACCTGCTCTCGGGATTCCTGCTAATCATGGTAAATGTTTTATTTCGTATATATATTGCTTAAGTATTGGATTTGTAAAGGTTTAGTTTGTATATTTAAGAAAAAAATAAATAAAAAGTGGGCGGAGAGCGACTAAACCCCATCCCCGAGCTTTACCATATATTGACATATGGCTGCACAGGTGAAGTTTAGCAGTCTTTCACGTTATGAATTGTTGCAGTTGTTCTTTTAAAGTCGTTGACAGTAATGTTTATCTTTTATTGAAATGTGAGCTTAACGTATGTTTACAAAGAAACTAGACCTTCCATTGTTGCCCTGTTGGTGCAGCCTTTTTCTTATCTACTTTCATTTGCTATGTAACAGATCTGTTTGTGTCTTTTAGTTTATATTGCCCTCCCACGTTAGATTTGTCGTGGCGTTGCACTTTGGTGTCGTGTGCTACTTCTTAAGTATGTCTGTGTAGGTTCCCACTTATCTGGGTCCTGGTAGTCTTTAGATCTGGAATATAAGGCAGCTGGACTTCATAAGGTTTTGAAGATATTTTACATGTCATCCAAGAGGCTTCTTCAGTTTTAGAACAACTACTCGAGAGGGAATGCTGTCCTTTCACACCTTGTCTCAGGTGACTGACATCATGCTGGGCTGGAGCAATGCCTGAGGTTTCACTTGTCTGCTCAGGTGACAGGATTGACCCACACAAACACTTTGGGTCACTACTCCCAAAATTACCTGGGACAGTTTTTCTAAACCTAAAAAAAACTGGGTAGAAATTTTAAGACTGAGCCACTATATGAGCCATCGTGACTCCTTTCTAGTTTGTAGCCAGTGTGACAATTTGGTAAAAGTTAGAATCTGGCAGGTGAAACTAAAGTGGATTACCTGAATTTACTTTAATGATTTCTACTCTTGAACTAAATGCCATGAACAGCACGTCAGTCCAGAACTGAAAGATCTCATGAACTGATCAGATAATTTCAGCAGCATGTTACTTATAGATCTGCTCTCTGATTAAGACAGTGGATCTGTATATGACAGTAATTGACATAAGCCAGGAAATTTATCAAATGTCAGCATCCTGAGCAGTCCCTAATCTTTCATCTTTCCCTCATGTTTGCTCTCTCGATCTCTGAGAGTATTGCACATTAATATTTTATTGTTGGACACTCTCTCTAATTGGAGATCGGGCTGAGAGACAAACTGCACAGAAACAGTTTGTGTTTTGTGCTTTTTGAAACATTGCATTTTAATTCTTGCACTCCCTTTTTTTGCAGTACTAGTAGCTACTTAAGAGTACTGGGACTATAGGATCTTTTGAAATTGAACATGTCTCTATTACAAACCAGATGTCTTACTTAGGTTACAGAAAAGAGAAGGAAACGAATAAATAGAAACCTGTGAAATGCAATGATGTAAAATCTTTAAATAATAGAATGCAATAATTCTAGTAGAACAGGAGCTCATGAAGCTAAATGAG